TCCTTTTCTTGAAATGAGGGAAAGTTTGATAAGATGACACTTGCATAGGGTGACTCAATTACTGGAAAATGATCTTACCGAGTGCATTCTTTGATGGCATTTACTTTAAAGTTTTTCAGCTCGGTTTCAAGTTCATCACGATTCCGTGCGGCACGTAGAGTAGTTTTCTCCACCCAATCTTCATCATATACCAGACCAGCCTCATTCTAATGGTAAAGTCTGATTTACATATACTTCCATTAATCCATTGAACTGCATCAAGAATGGAGGGACGTACATGGCCAGATTTCACAACTTTGGCGTTCGCCGAGGTTAACCTGTCGTTGCCCGGGGTCTCTCCTCCAGATGGATCACCGGAACTAAGCTTTTCGTTAAACTGCGTGTAAAATAAGAGCAATTAAAACATTAATAAAAATTACGCTGTGAAGAAGCACTTCAAATATCTGTTCATAGGCTGATACATTGAGTGTTGATGCCTTTATGTAGTCATGAGCCAGCTTCAAAGCCTGACCCTTCAAGACAGGACAGACTTGTGCTATAAAGAGAAGCCTAAGATATTTGATGGGACCGGAATAACTAGCTGCGTAAGTAGGAAGATCCTAGAGAATTAAATTTAAATTCCAAATGTCCGCACGATTTGAACAGGTTCGTTCACACATTTTGGTAATTTTTTTTGTGTTTTACGAGCAGCTGGACTCTCCGAGTTGGGCTCTGACATTTACCGAGGAGAATTGCAAAAAGAAAGCAAAACCAGAGAGAACAGAGATGCTGAGTTTCGCGGTAAATGCGAATGTTGGATCAAACAAACTGGTACAATAACGTAAAATTAAAATGATGTATAAGCTCAATTCTCAAATTAACTTTTAGTGATCGTTATCCAAACAACAAATTGTAATTATAAAAGAACTTATAGGTGTGCGTTGATAAAACTTGGTAATTAATGAATAGAAGAAAAGATTTCATCACTATTATTGTAGCTTGATGCCATTTACTTATGCTTCTAATGTTAATAATCAGAATTCTAAGTTGATGCATGAAAAATGTATGGCTTCTATCTATGCATTCGAATACAAATCCAGAAGCGTTCATTAATGCCTTGAAACAGTAACGAAACTAAGCCTTCGGTCTTGTTCTGGCCTATGGAAGCAAATTATTTAAGTAGTTAGTGGCTAATTGTCTGGTAAGGTTGAAACTACAGCGTCCCAAAGCCTTCTGGCCGGTATAAGAAGTCAGTAAGTGCAGCTACAAACATGTATTCTGAAGACGACAGGACAAATGG